TTGTTTTTCAACGACCCACTAGATTCAAACAAGTATTCACTTTTGGAATCTACCTTTTACAAGAAAATTCTCACTTATAATATCACGAGAGCTTCAATTATTTCGGGAAATTTTTTCGAGTACACGAATTTTTTAAATATTCGTGTTCGAGGAGAAATTTCCGGATATTCATTGAAGCTAAAGTGGTATTCGGTAAGAAAATTTCACACTGAAATATTATTAAAACATAACTTGGATATAGACGATTTTTGATGGTTTTGACATTTGAATAGTAGGCTTTGTATGTTAACTGAAACCTAGTAGGTAATTCTATCTTTTCAGGTTATCTGAGTATTAATTATCTGAATAAATTTGTTGTGTTGTAGAGTTTGTAGAGATGAAGCGATTCGCGAAATACGGTTTATGCAAGTTTTGTAATTAAGTTAGTGACATTAAAAAGTATCATCGGAATCTAAAATTTTTAACGTATTTAGTAGAAGAACTCGGGCCAGAAATTTATTCATCAAATTTGTTTGGGATTATCAAAAATTTGCTTTTGGTGTGTGAAAAATATGGAGCTCTTCGTGGATTACAGCAGAATAAGATTGTTTTAAAGTACTACATATATTTCATGAAACATAGACATTTTATACGTTCTAGTGAATGTTCGTTTTTATACTCTCCATTGAAAATAGAAGACGTAGCTAAGGAATTTCAACAACACTTAGATGATTTAGTTGAAAATGTTGGTTTTTTGTGATGAAAACATGTGTTTTCGTAAATTTCGAATTTGCGAGTATACCTACATAATTATTATATGGTAAACTGTTGATAAATGATTTTTATTTATTGAATTATAGAATGAACTCGAAATAATCTGAAGTTTGATGTAAATGTCATTTAACCTATAAATGTCAAAAAATTTCCAGTGTAATTTCCTGCTACGTCCGCCCAGGAAGAGGAAAAACTTTCCAAGAAATTTGTTTAGTTGCTATGGTAACGATACGAAATACAGTCTGTGAATTGATCGAAAATGCGTTTGGTGTGAAATTTTCATGAGAAATTCTAAAAAAAAACTGAAAGTCATTTATAGCACGTGCATGTTTCATCAAGTAGGCTGAGGAGAGGGTGCGATTCCATGAATGACATTTGAATAGCAAACGAGCTTTGCTCATGAACAGCCGTCGTTCGAGATTTCCCTCGCATATTTTCATCCCTCCCTGCCACCCCTACGAAATTGCCAATGAATTCATCACACCCGATCCGAATTTATCGATTGCACAACATTTCACTAAATATTTTTCAATTTCTCCCTCAGCAAATGGAGATCTGTGAAAATATAAATCTTTAACTAGGCAAGTAGTTTTTTCAGTTGTACTATTTTGTTCATATAATGTTCGAAGAACATCATGCGTACCCAAGGGCGTCGCCAGCTGGGAAGCTAGGGGGGCACCATAAAAAATAAAGAGGAAAATCAAATAAGAAAAGTTCAATGAGAAAAATTCAGAAAAAGGAAAAAAAATCTATATAGAAAATCAATTGGAATCTATTCTTCAAGGGTTATTTGCGAATTTGTTGGTCACTTTGTTGACGAATTCAAGTTTTTGAAAATATGTTGCCTATCTCTGTACACTCATTAGATTCGGAAGATTTGGAATGGGGCCTTCGGGCTATCTGCCTCCACACTGCGACCTTTTCAGATCTATTGTGTCTGCCCTCAAAATCGATTAGAGTTCTTCGGCTAGCCCCGCCTTCTCTATGAGACTCCATAGGCTAGCTTTCAGATCTCCTGTGTATCTCTGGGCTCCTGGTTTTTCCTCACCCAGCGTAAGGAACGTTAGTCTTGACAAGCCCTCACAGTGGCAAAGTATGTGTACTGCTGTTTCTTCCTCTTCTTGACAGAACCTGCACAGCAGTTCTTCAGTCAGACCTATCGTACTCATGTGTTTGTTGAGCCTACAATGCCCTGTGAGAAGTCCCACTAGTATTCTAGTTGAACTTCGTTTCTGGCTTAGTAGATATTCTGTGAATGTTGGCGATGGTTTTTTAATAAACTCTTTAGCCTGTCTCATTCCTGGCGAGTTGTTCCACCATTCTTGAGATTTGGTTTGCATCCATGATTTGATACTAGTCTTTTGTATAGCTTTCGCAATACCACAGAAGGGTTGTGGGCCATTAGGTAAGAGCTTTGTTTGCTCCTGCTCGGGCAAGTGAGTCTGCCTCTTCATTGCCCTCGTACCCTGTATGTGCTGGTACCCATTCTAGAGTCAATCTGTTCTGACTGCCCAGTGCATTTAGGGTTTCTAAGCAGTCTCATACTAGTTTTGAGTTAACTTGCATAGAGTTGACTGCTTTGATTGCCGCCTTGCTATCTGAATAGATTGCAATGGTTTTGCCTTCAAACTCTTGCCTTATCAATTCTTTCACGCAATGATGTATTGCAATAATTTCTACCTGAAACACCGTCGCGTATTTGCCTAAGCTCAGTGAGATCCTTGTCTTTGGCTTGGCCCCATAAATACCAGCTCCTGATCCTTCATCAGTTTTGGAGCCGTCCGTATAGACAGCAATGTCTGCATTGATAGGAGGTCCTTCCTTCCATGCCTCTCTGTCCGTTATACTTATTTTGAAAGTTTTTTCAGAGCTATATTTTGGAATTATGCCATCCGTTGGCATCCCCATGATGGGGTCCCTTTCCAACTCTTCATATAGCTTCCTATAGTCTTTACCGTGCGCGTTGCTTATGGGTGCTTGACCACTTGACAATCTACTCACGACTGCTCTGGCTTCGCCTTGAATATATATTTGTAGTACACTCATCATTGCTATGCTATTGAGTCGAGCTTCAGACATGGTGCTCCTCATCTTGGTTTTGATTCTCCGAAGGCTACAAAATGACCTTTCAACTGTACGAGTCTTACAAGGTGAAGCAACAAGGATCTTCAAAGCCTTCTTAATTTCAGGAAAAAATCTGCTTTCTGAAGTTCTTGTCTCAAAGTGATCGTTATCATAAGTAATATCACGATGTTCTGAATATTCGAGATAATTCTGTCGCTTCATTGTTCACGAAATCGTGTTGCCGAGCAACACCACGAGTTCTTTAGGACGAGAGGTATTGCTGTACTTGAACACAATTGAGCAATGAATGACAGAATTATGAGAGGATTTTCAGAACAGAGTGGAATTTTGTAAGATTATTTCACGTTCACGAAGCATAAACAGCATTCATTAGAAATGAGTGATTCATTCTGGCAAGTACAGCGATAATCATTTTATGCCAAACCGACAGACTTTGCTTCGCTATTCATGGTCACATCGTTGAAAACATCAACGCTGAAAGACCAATCAGTATTGAAAGACAGCGAATGTTTTCGCGATAAGTTCACGTTGTCTCTGGCTGGTGATTGGTCAGATTATGTCGCTGCTCCATAATAATAATGACGCAAATGCAAAAAAGTAAATTTTACAGGAGAAGGAAAAAACGAATTCAAAATATCAATTTTTCGATTTCCAAATAGGCGATTTATACTATGAGTTTGAACCTTCGAGATATTGGGAGTATACCCTCATACTTCAATGTATAGTAGTTCAAAGAGATGATATTTTGAAATTTGATATGGATATTTGAAGATAATTATGTCTTTATTCATGCTGAAAGAAAAATCAACTTAGTCAATTGTGTCAACACTTTTAATGATTTCCTTGGTTTTAAAAATGAAAACAGATGATGGATCTCATTTATTTCAACTCCAGATGATATTTTCATTTTCTGTTCACTCATGAGCAACGGTATGAACTAGAATCCTCTAAAATTCATTGGACAAAGATGTAGAGAGTTTTTCGAATCATTTACTTCAAGGAAAATAATTTCAAAAGAATGAATAATTAGAATAAGAAGCTGAAAATTTGTAATTCGAAAATTTTATTTGTTTCAACCAGAGATTTACAACCCTTTGATGTCAGAGATTCAAGTTTGAGGGTGAGTGTATAATCTCAGAACGTCTTTTTCTTTTGACGGCTCTGAACTTACATACTGAAACAGCTTTTCATCTCACAAATCTTCATAATTTTCAGTTACAACAGTATAAAACTGAAAATGTTTTATCTGCATCTCTAATTTACAACTGCAATTGTAAATTAGGAATTATGAAAAACAAATAAGAGATCTATAAATTATGAAAATATTGTGAAAAAAGTCGTTCAGGATACCAGTTCCAAGCCGTCGTATTTTCTCGACTTGAAATATCTATATTATTTCGTTTGGCTAAAGAGATGTCTCTGAAATTAATTGAGAATGTCAATGTCTTAATCTTTTCCATCGATATTATCAATCAGTTTGGATTTTAAATGTGAAGATTTGAACAGAAAATGTATAATACTCTACAAGAATGACCAATTACTATGAAAAAGTCGCAATTTCATTCATAATTTGTTTTATTGTTATTTTTATGTCGCATTGATCGCAAAGAACAGAATCTAAATAATCCGATGTAATCTAGCCTGAAAGTGAAATTACGATTAAAATCAGATAATATTTGAGAGTAGAAAATGACGCATGGGATAGTTATGTCATTATTTTTTTTATATTGAGAAATAAACAATGACTCAAAATACACTCAAGTCGACAGTTTTCTTCCAGTGAAATCGTGCCAATTGATACAAATTCCATAACGACGAAACTTACATCTAGGGGCCAAATATTTTACTACAATTCTGAGGATTTTTTCCAGGTAGAGTAAACTTTTCTCTACCTGCTGATGGGCATAACTCATCATTCCAAAAAATCACAGTCACGTCATTATTAATCTGGAACGGCGATGTGATCAATGACCAGTTGAATTTATCGATCTATTTCAAATATTGATATTCGATATATAATTCTCTATATCGCCCAGCTCTAATCGCGACTATACATTATGCTGGTTGTGGGCTGACATCGTTTCATGTAGAATATTTATCACTGATTCCATCTGATCAACAATTCTCGTAGCCTCTGAATTTTCATTTCGATTATTTTTCAGGCCCCCTCCTCCATCCCGTGGCCCTCCGCCGAGCACCTCCCCCTCCCCCTTCCCCTCCCACTTCCCCTCTCCTCCTCCCGCCCCTGCGACGAGGAGTTCTCCTCGCCGCCCAGCAAGAGGGCGCGCAGCTCGGAAAGGGGGTTCGCCACACCGCCCGACAGAGGGCGCCACCGCAGTCCCGAATCCAGGCAGAATGACAACGGGGACGCGCATGCGCACGACTCGTTGCTGGGGCAGGCGCTAGAGGGCGCTCAGGCATCGGTCGTGCTTACCAAAGAGGTAAGGCGTTGAAAAATGGAAACTTCAGGATTTTTGATTTTTGTGGGTGTTTGGTGTTATATTTTTTTAGTACCTTCATAAAGCTGCGAGGTTGATTTTCTATTCACACTATTGCCTACACTGGGTGTGTGAGGGTCGCTGGGCTGTGTGCACGTGTATACAGAGTGGGCCTTTGAAAACGAAACAGAGGCTCTGTAGGTCGGCAAAACCGGATTATCAAAAAAAAACTGGGATATAAAGTGTTCAAAATCGAGATTTTTCAACTTTAACATTTTTTTGTGTCGAAACTATCCATTATTGGTCAAAACGGCTTTCATGTCCCGATCTCCACTTGTGATTTACTATCTACTGACATTTATTTGAAACAAATACAGGGTGGTTCAAGATTCAGAATTCTGATCACCCTGTATCTGTTCCAATTAGATGTCAGTAGATAGTAAATCACAAGTTGAGATAGGGACATGAGAGCCGTTTCGACCAATAATGAATAGTTTCGACACAAAAAAATGTCAAAGTTGAAAAATCTCGATTTTGAACACTTTATATCCCTGAAACCATTACAGCTAGACCCCAAGTGTAATGCATTGATGAAATCAGCTCTTCGGGGAGAATCTAAAAATGCAATGAAATACAAGGTGTTCCATTTGAAATAACAAAGTTGTTGCTTCTTTTCGTTAGCAGCGGCAACGCCGCAGGACTGAAAATATTGTAGGACGATGTCCCCCTCGAAAACGTAGTTGACGTGTTTCATATTCTTTTCATAATCCGGTTTTGGCGACCTACAGAGCCTCTGTTTCGTTTTCAAAGGCCCACTCTGTATATATCAAAGAAGGGAAATGTTGTATTAAGATAATTTGTTCATATTTATATTCGTAGCAGAGCGATTTCGACTGTTAAGGCATCATCAGTGCATACCTGTTAGTAAGTAATCTGCTTTTAGCTATTGGAAAGAAATTGAAATTGAAAATTAGAAAAAATTCTGAAAACTTTTTTTCGAAAAGATTTCTTTTGACATTTTTTTGGAAATTTGTTTGATATTGAGAAAAGGTAAAAAGAAATTGGTGACTTGTTACTTGTTAATAAACTCTTGATTTTGAAAAAGACATTATCATAAAATCAAAATTTGAAATAGTTTAATATGAATTTGGAAATTGATAGAAGTGAGGTTACTCACTCGTCAGGTTAACATGGGAATTTGTCCATAAAAATATCTCTGGTCCAGTTTGAAACTAACGACATTATGGTAAAATACGGTACAAACATATTAAACTGTGTTTCCCAAAATGATAGGCTGTCAGACAGTTGAATTTGTTCAACTTTTGATTACATCTGGCGATTTGTACCTGCCTAAGAAAATACAGTCCACTCAAATATCGCACAAAGAGCAATAATAACATTAGGTTCAATATCATTTTCCCGTTGATATAAGTTATTATTTCGGAAGTCATACATTAAAAAAAAACGTTAACAAAAATAAAACTTCAACGTCTTGAGAACGAAGCGTTTCCAGAAATAATATTTATTTGGACAATTCATATCAGACTATTGTACGGAATCACCTCCTGGGAATATCAAAGTACTTTTGTATCACCCTGTATAAATAGTTATCGTATGTTTGTAACGGAATCTCCGAACATGATTTGACCCACTTCGAAACGTCGAATATTGGATTGAAATAATTTAATGGTTTTGATCCATTATCTTGATCAGGATCTTCAGGATCAGCTTTTTTCTTCTTGAATAAAATGGTGGATAATGTACCGTCACCAAAATTTCAAATGTACCTTCACCAAAATTTGAAATGTTCCTTCACCAAAATTTAAAATGTTCCTTCACCGACATTTCAAATGTTCCTTCACCAATATTTCAAATAAACCATTCCACCTTCGAATAACCTTTTACAGTGCTTTTTATTTCTAGAAACACGTCATCCACTATTCGTATGAAAGAAAGATTCCGTACGAACATTCAGAATGAAAACTGATTTAAAATGTAGGTAAATTTAGTTCACAAGTGAAAGAATGAAACATATATTTACCAATAATTAGGAGTAAAAGCACATAAATCCAAAATCTTACGGATGTTCTTTTGCGGATATGGTTCAACCGAATTGAAAATAGTTATTTATCATACAAGGGGAAAAATGTGTAGATTTAAGCTCCATATATAACACACTATTTTTTCCTGTGACAGGAAAAAGGACGAATCAATATTGAGAAGATTATATTAATATCAGAAATTATCGACGTCTAATTCTGTGATATGATTTCAAAAAATTGCGAACTTAGTGGTTGTTTAGTAATGTACGTAACCGCGAAGTGGAGTGGAAGATAAAATGACTTGCAGATGTTCTTTCTCGGAGACGGTTTTATTGGCTTATTTTTGGAACGAGCACAACTAAAAGCTGTGTGATATATGTCCGGGAAAAAAGTACTAATTTATTAAAAGTGACATTTTATAACCTGTCAACAGAGATGAAATTTCAAACTTTTTTCCCGTCACAGAAATAACAAATTTACCGTTGTATAGAGATTCGAAATCTCTAACAAAGCGTAATGACTTGATCACTTGTACCATTTGAAGATGTTGAAGGTGTTAAAGTATGGAGTTCTATCTCGATTGTCTACCTTCCTCAACACTTGAGAATCTTGATCTCAATTTCGAAAACATTTCCAAATAAGTACATCCCATTGAAAAGGAATATTCTCAAATATATTTATAAATACAAAAAAATGGATGAATATATAAAGAAATACATTGACAATTCGCATTATCTATGTGATGAAAATATTAATTCTTTCTCGGTTTATCCAAAAGAAAACAATGACTTTTCTGACTATATGCCACGACGAATATTGAATTATATCTATTGAACACACGATGAGAATTTGAAAACAAAATCTTCTGAAGTAGAGAATTTGCATTCTCCTTCATATTCTGAATATTCAACAGAGAACAACTACTTTCCTGGCCATCTTCCACGTCGAACATTGAATTATATCTGTTGAATATCCAAAAAGAGAAAATATCAATTGAGTACATCTCATTTTCCCAGAAAATCAACTCGGACTCATCGATCCAAGCGCAATCCACTGGGGGCGAGGAGAGCAACAGCAGCGACACCGCGACCAGCGACCGCGGCGACGAACCTGTCACCCCTAAAACGGAGCCCCAGGACTACATGGGGGGACTGGACGAGCATCACCCCTTTGGCACCAACGGCATCATGGATCCCAACAGGACGGGCGGGTTCCATAACGCCCTTTTGGGACTGCAAGGTCAGTCATCCAATAGGTCTGTTTATTTGTGTCCTTGGCGATGCTAACAGCAAGCCGATTAAATCAGATCAATGACGTCACCAACAGATTGTAGTAAATTTGGGCAGAAAACATTAGCAATGTGCATAGGCAACAAACGAACACTTTTGACTCAGCCTCAGATATTTTTGGGGTTGATAATCAATTATGAGAATTCCGACAATGACATTGGATAAACAGACATCAAAACTCGATCAATTGTAATGATATTATTTTTTCCATACCCTCTGATCTGAACGATAATGCATGATTTCCAAAATATATATTTTCTTCTCCTTATTATACCTTCTCATTAGGTCACTCACTAAAGCGCTAAAACGATATCAGTTGGTGATATTTCAATATTTTTATAGTTTTCAACCCGATTTGCTGTTTTTTATGTTATGGTATCCGACTCACCTGATCTAGCACCTTCCGCAATTACTGGAAATGACAGAAATATCGATCATTTTCGGGTATAGTAGGTATAGCGTTAGCAGACCTCATCCCTACTCCTGGTAGCTCCTCCCACTTTTAAGGTATGTGGGCGTGGCCGTAGCTCTGACCAATCGCAGGTCATGCGAGTCCTGCCCACTAGTTGTCCGACTATGCTACATTTCCTTCTGTAATGAGGGCTGACATTTTCAGTCTCACCAGTTGGGGTTACTGGGGTCAATGTCAAAGTCAAAAATCTCAAAATTTTGACAGATAGTACTGAAGGCTGTGGCCTGTTTTATCGAAAATATTCGGAAAAAATGATGTAGAGTATTTGAACAAATGAAAAATCTCAAGTTATGGGAAGACTTGAGGGAACTTTACCTATTTTACTATCAATGTGGAACTTTACAACCAATTCTTACATTGACGGAGAAGATGATATCGTCGAAAGATGCCAAATAACATGAAATGAAGAAGTATATTCATCATTTCTGCAAACTGTGGCTATACGTTTCAGTGGCGCGATACAATGGAATAATGTTAGCTCTCATTACTGGAAAATATCGGTTCACCTCATTTTCGGTATGAGTAGGTATAACGTCAGGTTAGCCCATCCTTTCTCCTGCCTCGTGACTCCTCCCACCTGTGAGCTATGTGGGCGTGAGCGTCGCTCTTACCAATCGCAGATCATGGCATACATTCGAGTCCTGCCCACTAGTTGAAACGGTCATGAAATCAGTTATGAATATGTATTTATATCACATCCTGTCATACACGAAATGCATTTTTGCTGTGATCTTTCGAAATTGATTCTATCCTATAGCATTGAAATGTTTTATATTAATGTGGAGAAATACACATATTCGTGATTTGTGTTTTTTTATCGCGGGTAGTTTGCATTTATTTGAATAAATCTGGTTTTGACACAATTTATTCGACTTCGATAAGATCTTGCACCGTAATTATACAGTACCTACACGATACACAATTCATGTAATGGACTGGTATTTAACAATGAATATGTATTTTCCTTCTAAATAAAGAACATGCTGAAGAAAAAGCAAACCAGCGAATTAGGAGGAGAAAGGTATTATAACATTTGAAAGTGAACCTAACTTGATCTCGGTCTTTTCATTCTAATTATATGTTTGAAAATATTCGCCTATTTCAGGCGAATGATTTGAATCCATAATCTTCGGTCAATAAAGAAGAAGATACTCACTAAATTAACATACTTATACACTCAGCCCGTTGTTTCCTATAAAAGGTAGGAACACGAATCAATTCCCAACCAATGGAATTGATTAAATTTAGATTGACAACAATATTTTGAATTTGAGGGTGATTCATACCAAATCACAGAACAATTGAAAAATGCATGCTGTTCATCGAGTCTCCTGAATTTATTCATAACTGAATGAATAATTTAGATTTTTTAATCATCCTAGGACGATAAAAAATGGATTCAGGTATTTTCAATTCAAATCACACAGTTCCCGCGCCATTCAAAATGGTGTCAACTCATTGGTGTGACTGTTGTGACGTATTAGTTACAAAACGCCTATTGTTCTTGAGCTGACCAATCAAACCGCAACACTGCTGAGATGGCAAGGTATCAGAGAGAGATAGCTGCAGTTCGACACTACTACGTCAGGGCTCCACCTTCATATCAAATGGAATATGCTGATTTCAAAACGCTATAAATTCGATTCTCTTCAACTTCAAGTTATAATATAATATGAATGTGAATCAGGATTCATCAATTGAAAGAGGTTAGGGCGGATTTCATCCCTCAGTGGTCTTTCCGATTCAATTATTGGTATTTCAAAATATGTTCGGAGTAAAATTCCGACTTCAATACCACAATATCGATAATTATATTTCATTTTCAGGATTAGGAGGATTGATGCCAGGACCATCAGGAATGCATGGAAGCCCTGACAATTTCGGTAAGTGTATCTTCCCTTTCACAAAACACAGAATGCTCTACAGACACTAAGGTACAGGAAGAAGCTTTTTACGTGAAACATCGCAAATTAAATTATTGTACAGTTGAGGTCAAAAGACGGGAAAATATGAAAAAGCGTGGAAAACCCGAAAAGTGTGATTTTTACAATATAAACAAATATATAGCTACTCTCTGGTTCAGGCAATGAACACCACGCAAGTTTTTATCATCTCCACCATTACTGCATATTTTTATTTGAATAATTTTCTGGAAAAATTACACCAATAAAACCCGAGCACGCTTACGACTTTGTTTCCGTTTCTTTGGCAGACATGCAACATCGAGAATAACTGGGATAGGGAAAAAACAGAAAAAAAACGCGATTCTTACTTTGCTTTTTACGGCAGCAATAACACGAACGGCGAAGGAGAAAGACAAAAAGCGTAATTTCTTAAAATATTTGGGGCCGATGGGATTTAATCGAATTGGTTGTAATAAATGTGCTGGTGCGTGCGTTATAGATCCCAGACACGAACTTGTCTCCATTATCGATTATTGATACAGGGTGAATACGGAATTTGAACACGTCAATTTCATTTTCAGAACAGATGGGATTCAAGAAAAATACCGATAAAGTGGGGGGGAGGGGGGTAATATGGAAGAGAAAACTTTGGTGTTTGTATTAATGGGGTGGTTTGCAGAGTATTGCTTCAATAGCAAAATTTTGTGCAATACACTATCTCACTTTCTGAAGATTTTTCAGACAGAGGGAGTTCCGATTACAAGAAAAGGTCAATTTGTGAAAATGGAATGGGGACACATTTTATCATGGTGATTAAGAAAATGGTCTAAAGCGATTCATGAAAAAACTCTCAAATTAGAATTGAGATAGAACAGTTGAACCCCACAAAGGGCTAGTTGACTTTTTATTTTCAAAATCATCACTCGATTACCTTTCAATTCCATATTTTTTTCGAATTATTCGATCGAGTGAACTTACACATGACATATTTTATGTTGAAATAGAAATAGGAACTTCAGAAATATCATTCATTTAATAATTTATGAATCCTCAATTATGTATCAGAAATATCCCTGATAAGCTATAGAAAAACCATAGTCTCAAAATTGTTCCTCTTATATGTTGTATCTTATTTATTATGATGAATTTGTGTTAATAATAATTATATTAATTCACACTAGAGGACATTTGGTCCTGTAAACGTGACAACACAGAACTGTTGGCGTTGTCTTGTCAGTTTCCAGCATTCAGCACAGCATTGCCTAGTCTCTATAGCTAATAATATTTACATGATGTTTTTTATGGAGTATACAAAATATTTTCACAAGCTGGTTTCTCGAAAAAGTCACAAATTGATAACTATAATAACATTACTCCAATCAGGTCAAAAGATTTATTTTATTTGGATGTATAGTTTTATTCAGCGATAGGGCTCTTAACAACATCTCAATAACTCGATTAAAATTGGTGATTTGACAACCTTGCTTCATGACTGGGATTGGGAGATTATCTGGCCAACAATAAATCAACTCAAGAATTGACGTCACCATATATCTGATGTATCCCAGAACATGGAAAAATTGCGGTCATGACGGCTCGTTTGAAATGAGCTTCGAAATTCAACAATTTCAAACAACGCATAGACACATTATTTATTATTATTATTAAAAAGTGCTGCAAAAATTAATTTAGGTCCCTAACGACACAGTGGAATAATATAATGTCAATTATCCATTACTAGTCCAGTAGCCCCTTGCCAAAGCCAGATCTGTTGTATCCCCCCACCCATCCGTTTCACTGGATGAGTGTCCCTTGACACTTGCCAATCAACCCCTACTCCTCCTGGAGTAGTCCTCATTTCATTCACTTTTTGGTACCACTTCCTATGTCTGGTTTGTCTGTCTTCGTCCATGTGTAGGCAAAATTGATCTTTTGGATCACCCTTCCTGTGGTGTTGAGCTCAGCCTAACGGCTTTCAGAGCTGCTAGTCAGTGTTTTCGTTGGTGTGCAATGGAAATGCATCACTTACAATAAGTGTAGTCTTCGTGTTGTTTTTGTCTTCCCTAAGGGGTTGCCCTGTTGGATAGCTTGCAATTGTCTCTCTATGCCTTTATATGTCATATTGCTATTCAGTCATCTAATTCACTCACCTTTAAGGCACAGATCCGACCTGCCCTGGAATACTGTTCCCATATTTGTAGTGCAGCACCCAAACATACCCTGAAACTGTTGGAATCTGTCCAAAAAAGGGCAATTTGTCTCGTGGGTGATGCCTCGCTCGCAAACTCACCCACTTTTCTGGAACACCGTAGAAAAGTTGGCGATCTGGCTCTATTTTATAGATATTTTCATGGCAGTCCCCGCGAGATTAACCTGTCGAGTTGAGGCTTCGCACCCCTTCGTGGTCACTTTAGAGACCTGCAGAACGTCTCTTTCCAAAGACTCGTTCATCCAACGAACAGCGAGGCTCTGGAACACATTGACAAAGGAAGTGTTCCCCGGGGCATATAACCCTCAGAAATTCAAGAAGAACACCAATTCCTACCTTATTTCCCTTGGTTCTCACGATGTTGTCTGAACATTACAGGATATCACTTTTCGTGGGAACCAGAACATAGAAAAATAATCTTCGTCGTCGTTGAGTAGTTGGAGTTTTGGTCTTCTGTGCCTGTTATATCGTTCCAGCGCATTCGATGATTAGAGTGATTTTTATCAGACCAAAATTAGAATGAATCATGATCACAACGACATCTTATAGCGAGAATTGATAATACTTTGGGAGCCATTTTGGCGCATTTCATTTACTAGCACAGTCGTTTTATCGTTTTATTCACTAAGGATAGTTAGATTATTTTGGTTTGTTTTTTTATACATAGATTTTTGTAGAAAATCAAGGATTACAATTTGAAAAGTAAAGGTACCTAAGCGGTCTTATTTACTTTCTTTGATAGGAAGTTTTTCTCTTAGATCATCCTTGGTATCATATCCAGTAATGAACATTGACTAGTGTTTCACCAGTTTTCTATCTGTTCATGAAAATAACATTCGTATGAACGATTTCGATTCCCGAAATATAAAGGAAATGAACACATTCTGCCGGATATTCCTTCGGGTGTGAAAATCCAGAGAAAGCCGGGAAATACGGAAAAGCTGTTTATAGGCAAAATGTAGCTCTCACTTATATTGCGTTGAATACGGGCGATAAAAAACGGAAGAGAGATGGTCCAATTCTCATTTGGGATATCTTGTAAAATAATCGAAATATATTACTGGAAAAATTGTAAGCACTAAGTATACCAGTGGAAATCCATGCCTACTGTTGAAATTTGATCAATAATGACATGATTATTTCACGGATTGTGACGGACAAATTTTGATTATATATGCATATTATACAATTTGTACTCCCCACGATATAAGGCTATAAATTGAACATAGTTTGGTTCCATTCATAGTTCGCAAATGTTTCAATTCAAGGCAGTAGAACAGTTCAAACCAAAGTGCTTCATACCATTGTTCAACAAAACTATAGAGATTTCCTTTCGAAAGATCCAGAATTGATTTTTGTTGGGTGGCATTTTTGAAAAAAATCAAGATGAAAATAAGATTCAGTTTCATCTCGTGTGAAAATATGTCCCCCGCAACCCATTCATTAAAGCGATTATTTATTTTTCATTTATTTTATTCATTTATTTATTTATTGAAATTGTGACTTCCAGTCAGAATCAAGTTCTGGTATAAGGAAGTATAGTTAACGACGATAATACCTAAAACTACAATTTCAATAAATTCATAAAAAATATAATATTTGAATACATCATTTCATATTGGTGAGCAACAATCAATTTGAATATGAATCAGGAGTTTGAAAAAAAATCATCTATTTCGTTCAGAAATGATAAATTTTGTAAGTTCGTATTGGAATTTTATTTTATAACTGCAATTCTCTATATTATCTGGTAATTTGTTATATTCGAAAAGAGCTGAATCTTTTTTGGCCTATAGAAGAATTAGCGATATCAACATTAAATAAACCATGTTGTCTAGTTCGGTAATCATTAATTTCATTGTTTAGAGTTGAAATAAAATTTGATTCCAATCTTTCATTGATGATTTTGTATGTAATTTTTATATTTTCTTCTAATGAGAATGATTCAGTTATTTCATATAGGTAATTGATTTGTTGGTGTATCATATAGTAAACGATACACTACCGTCAATGTCTTTTTATACAATGTAGATATTTTATTAAATTCTTTTTCAACAGTATACCAAACATATATCACATAGTTAATACGACTATATTTACAACTTTTTTATCGAGCTTGGGACATCTCAGGGTTACAATAATAGCAGATATTTTTTCGTCAAAACAGGTAAAGTCGCTTAGGGCATCTAGTCACGAAACAGCACATCAAGTACCCATTCCAAATATTTATCAAACTTAAAGCATTTTAATACTACCTGTCATAATTGTTCGATGACAGCAAACGTAGATTAGGTGACGGCTGACATTAATTGAGGTCTCCAGAAATGAGGATATATCTCTCTTGTTTTTGATATTGGGGGCGATATATGGTAGATATTCCATAGGTTCGATATCAGCTCAATATTTGATGAAATTAACAATTTGAGTTTTGATAATAAATAGTACCTGAACTATATGTTTGTGACTTCTGCCTTCATAGGATACCTTGAAAAATTTCGACAGGCACAATCGATATTTAAACGAACTTTTTTGTGATCTTCGTTGCATCCTTGAGAAATAAAAGCGAATTTTACATTGGGAGCCCATTCATGTGAACTGAAAAAAAGTGTATTTTTATGCTTCTCTATTGTTTCTCTTTACCTGATTTTATATTTTTGTATCATGAAGTGTATTTTTATGCTTCTCTATTGTTTCTCTTTACTTGATTTTATATTTTTGTATCATGAAATATGTATCGTCAAGAACTTAATCTATACTTATACAAAATATC